TCTTCCATTTAAATCAGCTCATGCTCAATGCTGACCACCAACTTACAGGAGAAACAAAGACAAACCTCGTGTAGTTTGAAGGGATTTTTGATACCCAACAGGACAGGTAAAGCTTTGGATTTAAAAAGTAAATAGATAAATAAATTCTGTGCTGCAACGAGGTAACAACTCTTACACTATTCCTTCTAATAAAAGATACAAGCCCCCTCCTCTTCATGCTGAGAATCTGGAAATCCTCTCTAGCACCAGAGCACTGGGTAGGGAGGACAAGGTGGAACATGAACTTCAACCTTTCCTTCAGAGACTGAGATTGCATATTGATATCTGAACACCCCTGAAGTTTCCCTTTTTTCATTCAGTGTTAAGAATAGCCTTCTGTTTTGGGTCTGGCAGATTAATCGCAGCACTGTGAATCATCCCCAGGCTGCACAAAGGAGGGCTGACTGACTGACTGGTACAAACTCCCCCAGAGAGTTTTGAAAATAACAGCATCAACTGTTGGCACATCTCATCTGTAGGGCTAGGGGGAAAAAAAAGGCAGCCTGCTTCTTATATTGAAAGTTGTAGATGATTTCACCTTTCTTTTCTAGTTCTGTTGCCTCGTTAGCCTGATATCCTTGCTCACCCTTCAAGTACAGAAAGATACAAAAGTCACATAGAAGAAATATAAAGAAAATGACAACTGAATCTTCTAAAATAACATGAGCCTATGTAAAGACTGGGAGGCACCACATTATTAGATGGAACAGCACTTATCTTTAATGAATCATACACTGTCAACAAAGAGAGACTGCAGCTCAATAGCTCCTGAAAGCTTAAGTACAGGTTTGGGAACAAGAAACTCCGAGTCACTCAAACACAAACTCCTTCTGCAGCATTCAACATGCCACTTCCACCTCCTTTGACTCGATCTCACTTAATTTTTATTCAGCTTGATTATTAAATATTATGGTTGAAGAAACAGGAGTTATTGTGTGATGCGACTCACGGCGTTACCAGAAAACAGCAATTTGGGCTGCCTCCCACCCTGAGCTGATATGAAGAGGAGGGACAGAATCTGGAATCGTTAACGCCTTTTGTTTCTTATGATGTGCAAAAACACCTGAAATACTTCCCAAGAGAAATTCAACCAGTTATTTTTAAATATTGAGAGAAAATGAAAGAGGAAAATATTTTTCTCAACCTGACATTAATACGAATACAAGGCTTAAGACAGCTGTCGATTCAAATGGAAATCAGAATCCTTACTCAAAGGAATATGAAAATTATTCTCAGTGCAGCACAGACAGGCACATCTCTCATCAGCTCTGGCGCTTCTAATTTGATCCTTAGACATGACAAAAGCCAGAATCCGGGCTCTCTTCATCCCTTCTGGCACTGTTGCATAATTTGTGCCAGAACAGCTAACACACTTTCATACATCAGAGAACAAACTGATGAGAATTTTGAGCCCTGCAGACAGGCTGCTAGCATATGACTCACAAAGCTATTTTCTCAAGCAGCACCTCTAGCTGGCCAATCTAATCCAGAGACACCGCTTTAACTTCCGTATGAAACAGGCACTTCAGAAGTCCACCCAGTACCTCTCTATGGCAATAACGGGACAGTCCACAGGCAGGGCTCAGTGACACCTGTGAACAGCAGGGCCATTTTTATTCGCTTCTCTTCCAGCAATTGCAGGAGAGGTTTGTGACTTTCTTCTGTTTTCTGCAACAGTTCGTTGCAGAAAGGCTGAAGGAACTCAGCAGAGGCGCTGGGGGTAACAGATAGACAGAGGAAATGCTTTTTTCCACGCCTAATAAAGTCTCTTGACAAGAACCATAAAAGTGAATTCCTGCTACTGAAGTAGAATAGCTTGAATGCTACCTGTAAGCCTCTCACGTGACCAGCAGCATTCCTTTTCTTAACTTCTTTGCTTTAAGAGAACATTGCCCACTGGAGGAGCTCAGAATGAGGCTGCAGCTGTACTGAAGTCTTACCCGGTCAGGATTTCAGTGCTTCCTTTCTATAGTTATGCTTCTGCACATCAGAACAAGCCTAAAGAACAAGCCTGGTACTTGTTGTGCAGTTCATTTCACTTTCTGGTTGTGGTACTTTAATGCAACACTATAAATGTGTGTCACCTTCAGCTCGGGATTTATTTCATAAAGATCAGTAGAACTTTTATCATATAGGTCTGACTTTCTTATAGCCAGCTTAATCATCCTAAACTAGCAATTTCTTTCATTTCAGCAAACTAATTCACTGATCAGACCAAAAAAAAAAAAAAGAAAGAAAACAATCCTCAAAGCACAGGACTGTGCACTACTGGGTAGTGCTTTGTTTGCTAAAACATGCATATACAAAAGCAATGACATATCTAAAACCAGCTAGTTAATGGAATAGTATCTCTAAGCAGAATAATTCTGGAGAGGCTTTTTAAGGCTTATTTTGATTAATTCTACAAAAATATAAGTGGTCAATATCACCAAGGCCAGCTTTATAAAAGGAGAAGAAAAAAAAAAAAGGCGACAAAAAGGGGTAAGGAAAGAGGAAGGGGAGCACTGTGTGCCTGCCAGCACCCAGCAGTAATCCAGTGCAGCAGTGGGCTGAAATGCAGCCCCAGCCTCAGTGTGGAGTTACCTTGCTTGGCCCACAGCGCATCCCAGGCTGGAAAGGTTCTCTCCACCAGGAACACCATCCTTCATGTGTTCTTTTAAAAACTCATTGTATCAACATTAGTTATTGCTACAGCTACTCAGTATTTCAAAATGCAGTCAAGAAGAAAACCAAGAGTTTAAAGGCACACATTAAAGCACCTAGGGAAAACGAGAACCTTAAACCCAACATTATGGCTATATTGATATGCTGGGTGTGAGAATCCAAACAAAACCTGGTCCTTTGGAAAGGTATCACCATGCAGCCACCTGTTTATACAACAATAACAAGAAAAAAAGGACAGGTTTATCCCATGTTTTCCACCAGTAATTGCAATCCAACTTTGCAGGAAAACTAAACGCCACTGCTGTGTGAGCCTTTTTCACTATAGGGATTGTGATCCTACCAACTCCAGCTTGAAAAATCCAGTTCTTTCCAGCTTAGTCTCAGACTCATAAAAATCAAATCACTTTCTCCCCACCCCCAAGTAGTTTTTGATCAGTTTTTCCCCAGTAAGCCTGTACAAAGCCTTGGAAGACACCAACTTCAGCACCAAGAGAACTATTTCTAGGATGCACCCTCCAATTGCTACACCTAATTACTGACTCACTATAACAAGACTCAGGTGTGTGAGGTCTCTCTGCTCCAAACTCATCCCATTGGCTTTTCTTCCCTGAAAGCCCAAAGAAAGGACACAGCATAAGGGACTTTTCAAACAGTACCAATTATTTCTCTCAACAAGTCAGCAAGGAAACAAAAGGTGGCACTGCCTTACGCTTGAGCCCTAAAACAAACCCTCACAAATGACAAATAAACAACAATTCTGTGGTGTTCATCAGAATTGCTTTGAGCACTAGCAAAGGGAGGGGAGAGCAGCAAAAAATCAGCAGGTGGTTTAGGGATTTACGCTATGAAAAAGAAGTGTCACAGTTATCCTACTGAAATTAACGGAACGAAACAGAACTACACAATTTATTAAGCTCTCAAGGAAGTATTATGCATGAAACTCAAATTTAATACTTTCACTAATTACTCTGGCACATATGGGAATGCACTGATTAGAGTTGGTGGCAATGCAGTCAGCAGAAACCACAAGAGGCCCAAAATTAAATAGTGCCACATGAAAACCATGCAGTGAGGCATATACTTGAAAATTAATATAAAAAACTTCCGATATGGGTCCATCAATTAGAAATGAGTGGAGAGAGGAGCCCGAGTGGTTTGCTTAACCACAAGGAAACAACGTGGGGCTGCCAAGGAAGGCATCAGGAGGAGCATCGAGCAGAAATAAGCAACTATTATGTCACTTTCAGGGCACTCCTGGGGCTATCTGCATTAAGAGATATCTGCACCATCGCCATTTGAAGATGGAGAATATGCTGGGGGGGGGGGGGGGCGGGAAGGTGGAAACAGCTATTAGGCTACAACAGATCATATGGGGAGGAAATAAATGAACAGCGCTCATAAATAAGGCTCAGCGAATAAACGCTGCTGAAGAAAGCAAGCTGCGGAGGCGACACACAGGTGCACAGAACCGCCATGAGCTGCAGCCGTGCCATTAACTTCCATGTCAGCTCCCCGCACAGCTCGGCCCCAGCCCACTGACAGCACAGCGGGTGCAAACGGCACCGACCTTAGAGCTCAGAAACTTTATTAGGAGATTCAAACAAAGGCAGCCGTCGGGCCGGGCCGCACCTCACGGGGACGCGAGCGGCAGGGCGGGAGGCGGTACGCCGCGGTGCAGCGGGCTGCAAGACGGTGCTCTGCCCCTGGGGCCGGCCGCTCGAGGGGCTCTGCCCGCCGGCTGCCCCCCGCCCCGTCAGGCGGCTCCGTGAGAGCGCAACAACCGCCCCTCTCCACAGCCCCCGAACCCGCCGACTCCCCACCTCCTTTATATAACCGGCAGGGCGGCAGCCGCCGCGTTACACAACAGTGAGGGCAGCGCGGCCGGCTCGCTGCGCGCGTTCCCTCAGCGGCGGAGCTCCGCGCCTCATGGCCGCCGCACCTCCCGCCCGCGCGCTGATAAAGCAGCACCGGCGGCACCGCCATCGCGGCCCCCGCTTCCCTCAGCGCCCGCCTGTCAGCCCGCAGCGGGAGCGGCCCGCCCGCCTCATGGACACCGAGCCTTCCCCTCCGCGGCACCTCGGCCCTACAGTGCTCACTCACCATCGCGCCGCTGCGTGCCGGCGGCGAGCGCCCAGCCGGGTCCGCAGCTTGTCTGCCTCTTTTTTTTTTTTTTCTCTTTCCTTCCCTCCGCCCCCCTCCCGGTTTTTGCCCCTCCCGACCTGGAAGTGAATGCTCGCACCGGCCGGGACGCAGCGCCGGTCCCGCCTTCCTTAAAGGCGCCGCGCAGGGCAGCGCTGTACGCGTTTCCTGCCCGCAGCGATCTGCTCCGGTGCGGTCGGGTTTGCTGGAGAGGAGCTTTGCCAGCAGCCTTCGCACTGAATAATTTCAGGCTTCGGATACAGTAACAGCGATAAAGACAGCTCCCGTCGCGCAGGCACTGTGAATACATTTTTTGCCTGTCGGCAGAACAAAGTGAGCAGCGATACAATTACTCTGCCCAGGTAACGTGGAGAGTTCGCAGTTACACCTTGTGAGGAATTGCTTTGTACAACATTTGCTCGCAAACCCCCAAATAACAACCCCAACCCACCACGGCCGAACGGCGTCTCGCAGCAATGCCGGAGGCGGCCAGCAGGGGGAGCCGCAGCCCGGCCCGCCATTAGCGCTGCTGGCGGCGTTCCGGGTTTGTCCCGCGCCCAAGGTTTAACTGAGCTCTGTTCATCCCGAAAGCTCCGCAATCCCGAGTTATCGCACTGAAATCACCTTCCGTTTACAGAACTCATCTGTGCCGCGCAAGGGGCGGCCTCACAGAGCGGCGCCAGGGGAGGCGGTCCCGGCCCCACCTCCGGGCGGGCGGTGACGGCCATCGCCGGGGGCGGCCCCGCAGCATGGCCGGGCTGATCGACTTCGGGGACGAGGAGGAGGTGAGGAGCTATCTGGAGAACTTGCACGTCGAGTACAGCTACCAGTGCTTCAAGGGGAAGGACCCCGAAGGTAAGCGGCTCTCCGGCGTCCCTTGTCCCAGCCCCCCGTCGCGGGCGCGGCTCTGACGATGCCTTGCAGGCTGCCAGCGCCTGGCCGACTACCTGGACGCCGTCAAGAAGGACTTCGAGGCGGCCGCGCGGGTGCTGAGGGACAACTGCGAGGTGTACGGGCACAGCGAGAGCTGCTACAAACTGGGGGCCTACCAGGCCATCGGCAAAGGTGCGCCCGGCGCTGCGTCGCGGCCCTTTCCTCCTTCCCTTTTCCCTTTTCCCCTTTTCCTTTATCCCCCTTCCCCTGCGCCTTCCACCCCGTCTCCCCGGGCTCCGTGCAGTCCCTGGGCTTTTTGATCCCAACACCCACACGTCCTGCCCCTTGTATTTTCCTAATAAAAGCAGGGAAGGATGGAAAACCTTAAGTTAAAGTCTTAAGTTCATCACCCAAGGAAAGAATTTCAGGTTAGCCACGTGTGCGATGTTTTATAAGTGTGTCTGCGTAAGCAGCAAGTATGTATCTGCTGCTGAACGTTGCTGTGTGCCCTTTCCTTAAAATCTTCATTTCTTCCATTTATTTATATTATAATGTCTGCATAAACTAATTTGGTCACCAGGAAGCGGAGGAGGGCCTCCTAAGGTTAGCCTCTGAAGCCCTAAATTCTGATTGTAGTGCCTAAAGTGAGGGCTGCTGTCTTTCCCAGAGAGAGCAGTGTGGAGCAGAAAGGTCCCATCCATTTCAAGCTGTCCTTGCAGTAACCTTGGTTTCCTGGTGCACAGGTGGACTCGCTGCAGACTTGAAAGCTGCCTACAAGTCTTTCCTGAAGTCATGTGAGAAAGGCGGGAAGAAGTCGGTGAATGCCTGTCACAGCGTTGGGCTGCTGGCCCACGATGGGAGAGTCAATGGTAAACCTGACCCAGTTGTTGCTAGGGACTATTACACAAAAGCCTGCGATGGCAGCTTTGCTCCTAGCTGCTTCAACCTCAGTGTAATATACCTCCAAGGAGCAGCTGGGATCCCTAAGGACATGAACCGTGCTTTGAAGTACTCGCTGAAGGGCTGTGAGCTGGGTCACGTATGGGCTTGTGCCAATGCCAGTCGAATGTACAAACTGGGAGATGGTGTTGAGAAGAATGATGGCAAGGCGGAGGATTTGAAAAACAGGGCAAAACAGTTGCACAAAGAACAGAAAGAGGCCTTGAGTTCTTTAACGTTTGGGGAGTAAAACTGTCACAGTTGAGACTGCAGCTTTAAGTGGCAGGTGAACTTACATTTTAAATCTCATGAACACACAGTTTTCACTCAATAAGTATCTTGGAAGTATTTGTGTATGCAAATACATGTATATTTTTGTGGATGCAATAAACATGACCAACTCAGTGGCTTTCTACATTTTTAAATACATACGTTCTTAAGTGTTTTATTTACATCCCATTCCAATGGAGGAGAAATTCTTCTGGCCTATTGGGAGTTTGTCCCCATGGTTTCAAGCATGGAAGGCTCTTTCCTGTCTGCTGCTTTGGTACTGAGGCTTGTTTTAGGACCAGTTCCAACACACTCGGGTCCACACACTCATTCCTAATTTTCCTGTCTTTGGATACAAAAGTACTGTCCTTGCACATCAACTCTGTTAGTTGTGAGATGTTCCTTCAGGCTGCCTGTTCATCCTAGACAGTGCCTGTTGCTGTCTCTGGTGATTATAGGTCTATGTGGATGTTTCTCTGTTAGTTTAGACCTAGAAGCATTTAAGTCATGTCCAGGTGATTCCAAGCCCAAAAAAGTAATGTGTCTGCATGATGATACGTATATAGAGACATGTTTCCCTATAGATCTTACAAATGAAATGGACAGGAGAGATGAGAAGCAGGAACAAAAAGAACTTAGTTTTGTTGGGCAGATGAACTGAAGGAGCAGAGTTTAAGAGAGAGGCTGTAGTAGAAGTCAAAGAGCTGGGAATTGACCCACTGTGGAACAGCAGGTAAGTGTCTAAGACAGGAGATTCCCTTGGACAAAGCATACAAACATTTCAAAAAACAGAATGTTGTTTGCAGCGCCTTGCCAACTGGTTTGTCACTGTGTTTCTGACTTCCATGTCTACCTGGCTGCTTTAGGATCACTCTCCAGTGCACAGTGATCACTCCTTGCTCAATTACACACTAATTGTTTTTAGTTTCCAGCCAGCTTTTGAAAGGCTCTCTATATTTTTTTGATAGATTTAGGAAGCACAGTGCCAACTGATCACATGTTGGACTCCAATTAAACAAAATCATATAGCTTACATATATACAAACCATAACTGAAACAGTCTAAATATGTAGGGCAGTATATGTAAATAGACAATTTTATGTATACACGTATGCAAAGCCTGTGGTACAGGTGTGTACATTTTGCTGCAAAGGTGTAACTGATTCAGAACATAAAAGCTCTGGCTATGGTTTGAATAAAGAGACAAGCTTGCTATTAAAATAAACTGAGCGAAACGAACACAGATTTGATCACAGCCCAGAACTGAAGGTCTGCACGGCAGAATAAACGGCTAAAGAATCTCAGTGTGTACTATTTCAGACAGATCATGTATGAATTACAGTAATTCTTCCAGCTCAACTGTACTTACAACAGATTTCTTGCAAAACATTCCTTGCAAGGGATATGCTTGCTGCTGGAATAAAAATCACAGAGGCAGTGATAAAACTGGCATGCTGGAACGGCAGATGGCAGTATATCTAAAATGTTGCATACCTTAGGTTTAAGGCTCTTTGCTCTGTTTTTAGCAGCCTGCAAAAAAATCAGTAATGACAAAAGTGAGCTTATTTTTTTCTGTGAAGTCAGTTAACATTTTGTGGCATTTCAGGAAAGTAGATCTGTTTCAGATGAAGACATGGGAAAGGTTACCTGTGCACTAAATGTGGCATTCCATTAATAAAACAGTTTGCAAGTTCTGTGTTCAAGAGTAAGCAATTACAGGTAGCTCAAAGCATTGGAGAACAGAGTGAAATGTTGAGCTTTTGAGTTCATAATGCTCGCTGCCTCCGAGTACTTTGTTCAGATCTTTGATCCAAATGAATCTGCCACACTGGTACAAGCTTTATTCCAATTATCAGTGTTCACAATACAACAAGCAGGGACTTGGGAACATCCTGAATAAAACGGACACACATAGCAGATAATTAAAGCCACATGTAAGTGCACACTGAAGAGATTTGTAGTTTGTTTGCTTGTTTTTTAGTAGCATGTGAACAGAGTTTAAATATTATTAACTTTGCATTTAAAAGGTGTCAAGTGTGTTAGCACAGATACGTTTGTGAAGCATCATCCAATTTTGTATCTCTAGTTTTGGCAAGCCCGAATTAAGGAAATTCTGTTGCACTAAGACATGAGAGTGGTAAAGCATTAAATCTGATCAGCCTGCTGCATTTCAGCATGTTATAAATTATACATAGTTAGTGATGTTCCCAGCAATCTATTCTCGACCTAAAAATGGTGTTCATGAGACATAATCAAAATTGGCTAACATACAACAATTGCACTGCAAATCTTGGCTTATAACCATCTTGCTCTGATATTACAAGGGCATTATCAAAAGGCCAGTGCTCCTGCCCTTTCTTCTTAACTGATTTTACAAAGGATAAATTTTATGTCCTCTTGGGAAGAAAACTGTTCCTCCAACTCCTCTGAGGTGATACAGTAAGTGTGATAGATCCACGGTTATAATAGCATACTTAGAAATACGGAACACTTGCTGGTCTCTTCAGGACTGGCGGATCGTCTTAGGAGTAAAGCAGCTTAACTCAGTCTCACAGCTTCCAAACCATTCTCTGTTTTCCTTTTCACTGATTTGTACTGATTTAAGCATACGGCCAACTTCCTTTAATAAAGCAGCAATGTACTCGAAAAGGAATTGTGACCAATTTTAATTTGTTAAATACACTCTCAGATGCGTAGTTTTAAATCACAAAAGCATTCACAACAGGGTGCCTCCTGGAGCTGTGAAAAGATTGCTAATGGACTGCTGTTCTTGTGCTGATATTTGAAAAGCACTGCTGCCACATCCTGTTGTGTCCCAAGTGTCCTTTGTATTCATTCTGGACAAAATAAGCTGTCAGGTAAAGAAGCTGCATGATGTTATGTAAGCAGAAAAGGGCTTGTTCTGGTGGCTCTGTTCCTGCATTGCATTGTAAAAAGCAGCTTTGCAGCTTGCCAGACTGTGTACATCTGCCAAAAACAACTTATTTCTGCAGCGTGTGAGGGTAGCGGGTGAGCATTCTTATGTCCACACCCACTGGGATGGTCTGGGAGACTGCGTGTAAGTCATCGCGCTGGGAAAGAATACTGTCTTCAAACTTTGTATTTGATACGGAAAGAAATTCAGTCTACTGACAATTTTCATTATCATGGAACTGAGAGGAACTTGCCCAGGTAGCTTCTCCATTTAAGTGCAACGTCCCTGGAAAATATCTGTGTCTATCATGCTCTGACTTTCCAGACGCTGTATCAACAAGATGGCCCAGAATCTAAACAAAGCAGATTTCTCCGAGACTCTTAAGACTTTAATGATCTAATTCTGTACGAAATTTGTGATGTCTAACTTCTTATTCCATATCTGTAGCCTCCCAGTGCTTTCATATTCAGCATCCACTCTCGAAGCAAACACTACAACCACTAATTATACTAATTTTAGATACTAAATCACATATATCTAGTTTGTTGTTATTGCCTTCTACTCTTACCACTAGTTACAATTACCAGTGGTATATTAGTTCCAAATATAGTGCTTTATACATCTTGCTTTGTTTTACAGTCTTGTTTGTAGTATAGGAATTGGTTTGGTAATATAGTCTGATTTGTTATCCTTTCTTCAGCTAGTAAAAATTTTGTACAACATGGATTTGTAAAAGTAAGACCATTTGGAGAGGTGATTTCAGATGGGGGTTTATGAACAGCACGATAGTAATGCATACATACACTCATAATGGTGAGTATAGTGGGAGTTCTCATCCTGTTAATGTACAACTGAAACATGGTGCTTTAAACATACCCCGGAGAGTTTTTCTTAGCAGCTGAAAGCCATCTGATAAAACAAAAGAAAGAAAAGAAGTGAAAACTCCATGTTTGTACAGTAGTTGTCACCCAGAGCATTTTAGTGCACTTCAATCACTACAAACACAGAACTGCTTCTCAGGTCCTGGAGCCATTATGCTGGGATAGGAAAGCCACAGAATAAAACTGTTAGTTGTTTGGCCACAGTGTAATTTCCTAACTTAAAGATGAGGCCATTGTGAACTTACATGAAACATTCCTTATTCTGTCAGCCCTCTTTTGGCACTTGGTAGCTTGGTCTGAGCATTTCATTATCTCAGGATAAACACTGGAAAGAAGTGAGTTGATTTCCTGCCAGCTCTCCTGTAACTGGAAGCACTCCATGTTCCTCTGGAGTTTCCTGCCCAAGAAACTGGTTGTTCAACAATAGCTTTGCAATAACCAGTGCTGCAAACTCCTGAGAAGAAAACCTGTATTTTCCCTACTGTACATGAAATGAGAACAAGCATTGAATGATTACTGACTTAATTAAGGCTACACAGTATCACAGAGGCCCAAAACGACTGTTCTCCAAACAAACAACGGTTAGCATGTTCTTCACAAGCCAACAAACACTAAGATGCCTTTGAATTTCTGATAATATCTGTGGGATGCTATTCTGTAAAGATGCAATAGCCACCTCAGCACAAGTGTTTGTTATTAATAGCAGCTGAAAAGAAGATGAGAGGCTGTGAGACCGCCAACACTGCAAGCAGCTTTTTGTGGCTGCTATCTTCAGGAAAGTCGTGGGCCTTTTCTCTATGGCAATGTTTGCTCATTTGTTCTGCAAGTGAGACAAAGGAAACATGTAATATCTTACTTTAAAGGTAAGCCGAGATAGAGCAGATCTAGCTGTCACAGTAATGCAAATGTCCCTTGAACTGGCAAATTCAATTAATATTTTGCCTCAGCATCTCACAGCACTGAGCTCAGAACACTTGCTGTCATCCCACATGATACCTTGCAACACTGCAAGAGCTTGGTGCCCAGTTGTGGAAAAGTTTTACATTTTAGAAGGATCACGGAAACACTATCCTCTGGAGAACAAAGGTGAAGCCCTCTGTCAGACTGCAATGACAGCATTGCACACACAAGCTGGGAAAATGGCATTTAGAGGCAAGCAAAGACACCTGGTGCTCAGGAGCCTACTGCTAATGCTACAGAAGAGCAGTGACCTTCACGCTTCGCTTAGCGCTCTTGAAAGGCATTAACAGTGCCTGGGGACATAAAGGACAGAAAAAAATTAGTGACATCTTTTCATGTTCAAGAATGAAAGAACAAAGGTCTTTTATTCAATTCTTATTCATTAGGCTGAATCAGAGATAT